GCCACCAGCCCGGCCGAGGGGATGGCTGGGCGAAGGCACGGACCTGGGAGTGTTTGTCTTTGGTTTTTTGCAGTTCTTCCCTCACCCCAACATGTACACAAACACTCACACACACACACGTTCTCCTCTGACCGGGTGTTTTTCCTGCGCTAGCTTGGGTTGCCACCGGAGACTTGTTCATGGCTGTGGAGGATGCAGCCATCTGAACGTCTTTCCCCAGGACACTCCGTGCAGGGCGAGGATGCGTCGCTGCTGCTGCTGTAGGGCTCATGTCTGGGTTCTTTTGGGCGTTGCTGGGGTTATTCGGGAGGCAGAGAGGAGCCAGGGTGGTGGAGCAGAGCAGCGGGCAGGTCCAGAGGTGTCTGCTGCCCCTGGACTGTTCTGGTTTAGGGCAAGTGGCTTCAAACTTCACAGCTTTGGTGTTTGCAAGGTGGGTTGTCCTTATCAGGCTACCCAGGGCTGGCCGGCGTGGCTGGGCATGTGCTGTGCTTGGGGCCCTCACATGGAGACATCAGAGTTTTCATTCACACACAGACTTCCCAGACACTGAGGTTGGCAGGATTCGCTTCCGAATCACTTTCCTTAGGGTGAAAACAGGGGCTTAAAGGAGGGGGTAACCCTGTGGGAGCCCACGTGCTATCTCTCTGCCTCCCTTACTTCTCTCAATGTCCCAGCACCCAGTACTGGTGGCATCTGCCAGTGGCTCTGCCATCTCCTTGCAGCCAGGGAGGTGGTTGTGGCTGGCACCTATCCTTTTTCTATTGCAACTAAATAGCCTTAATCAAAGCCAAGAGTTGAAACCACTGAAGGAACCTGGTGCCATTTGGAGGGCTGGACTGACTCTCCTAGAGACCACTGGCTCAAAGGGGCCATGCCTGGACGAGTGTCTCGGCTCTCCTGCATAACACCACCCCTTGCATGTGTAAAGGCAGTGGTCACCTCCAAAAGCACCAGAATCCTCCAGGTCTGCTCTTGGAAAAGCAATGTGAGGGGGTCACAGGTGACTTTCCATAGCTCTCACATTGGACAAAGGGTCTGTTGAAGCCAACAGACTCTTCCTCATCCTCACTTTCCTTGTCCCGGCACGGCTTTACTTTCCCTAGCAGTGCACAAACCTTGGGTAGAGCCTTCTGCCTGAGCGGTACCTTTCAAATGCAAGCACAGACTCTGAGGAAGAGGAGGGAGAGGTGAGGGGCTGGGTTCCCACATGGACACGCCGGCTTTTTGGGACGTTGGGGGCTCCCAGGCAGCACTGAGTTTGAAGCTTGGCTGAGATATCGTGCCTTCTTTGCTTAAAATAACAAAGGAAAGAGAAACAAGGAAAAAAAAATCCAACCTCCCTTCCTTCCCCCTCTACCCAGCTCCATCTGGAATGGGTGCAAACCCCCGCAGTGGTGCTGGCGGGGGGTTGCTCTGTGTGTGTGTGTGTGTACACGTTTCACCGGAGCAGTCCTTCTTCCTGCTTGTCTGCTGGATGGTGGGATTGATGGAGGAAGAAGGGTGGCTTTAGAAACCCTAATCTGGGAAGAAAAAAAAACAAAACACAAACCCAAAACAATCAAAGAAAAGCCCAGACACATTCTCTCTGCTTTTGTGACAAGCCCTGTGTGACGTTGACGGGAACATTGACCTCAGCAGCCCCCTCCTCTACTGGGAAAGATCTTCTGGTTTCTACCCTCCATGAGACTGTTTGCTCCTCTTTCTTTGTTCTTTCTAATTGTCTAAAATTCAATAAAAACTTTATTCATATAAAAAAAGGACTTCTTACTGCCTGCTGCCACTTTTTTCCCCCCCTCTACCTAATTCTGTAACTCCAGCGAGTTCGGCTGTTAATACTCATCCTTGATACGACTGGCAGTAAGCAGCGACCATAAAACCAAGACCTGCGTGTTATTAGGCCGGTGAGTTTGGCAGTGAACCCTGATGGTACAGCCTTGTTTTTCCCATTCCTAGTAGTCTGACACGTTGCCCTTGAAGGTACGATTTCCCAGGCTCGAAGGTGTCTCCTTCTCTAGACAAAGGTGAGTTTTATTTTCTGTAATGTGTTGGAGGAGATCCGTCGCTGCTTTGAGTGATGTGGGAAAATGTTTTTAAAAATTGCCTGACTCTGCTCACGTGCTGGTTTTCCAATCTGAAACACGCCATGTTCATCCCAGCTTCAAAATCGAAGGGAGTCACCAAGAAGGTCCTCACTGACTTTCTTGGGCTTTTGAATAAGTTTGCTGGGGGAAACTGTCAGGAAGTTAGTAGAAGAGCTGATCCCCATAGACGGAGCACGGGAAGGTTCAGTGTCTGAACTTAAAATCATAGAATCATAGAATGGTTTGGGTTCGAAGGGACCTCAAAGATCATCCAGTTCCAATGCCCCTGCCATGGGCAGGGACACCCTCCACTACACCAGGTTGCCCAAAGCTTGAATAAGTTTGCTGGGGGAAACTGTC